GTAATGGTTAGGAGTCAGATGTTCACCAATTGGATATTTGATATCATCAACCAATAAATAATATTTGCTACTAAATTATAAGTGAACCATGTCATCTATACGTACACCGTGTTCCAAAATTGAACGATAACCCGGCGCCATACATAAAGTCTAATTTTTTAGAAATCAGCAGAAATGTCATCAAAAATGGCCAACTGACATAAAAATATTTTTAGTCTGTGAACTAGTGATGCGACAAAACCTCTCGTTAATCGCGAAGTGAAATTATTGTAGTACTTGCGTATCGCCGGGTGATCGTCAAAATACTAAAAATATGCAACAAAGTCGCAACATTGAATAATCAGTTTCATAATCAGTTCAGATTATGAAATTTTCTAGAACAGGAAACAAACTGTATGCACAGATGTAACCAAAAAACACACTGGACAGTAAAACAATCAATGATATCCGTAAAGTTATTAAACTTCAAATAGTTGCAAAAAGTTCTGTTGGACAGCGTTGCTACTAGTGACATCTCGCTCGCTCAGTTCTTTGTTGCTGTATTCCGCTAGGGAGGTAATTTAAGATGCTATCAATTGAAAGAAGATTTTTATTTTCTTTTATTTTATTTACTTATATTAGTCCAATCAACGAGGAGATTCGTTGTATGGAGACATNAACTTTTTGCCAACACTGGTAGTTACTAATTGTTGCAGACAGGGAACATAATCCATGACATGCGCAAATGATAGCTGTTATGATGAAATAATTCTTTGACTGTACATTTATAAAATCGATTAAAAATAAATACTTACCCCCTTACTAATAAAACTTATACGCTCGTTGAACAGTGTTTTAAAGTGACGTTTANATTGTTGCAGACAGGGAACATAATCCATGACATGCGCAAATGATAGCTGTTATGATGAAATAATTATTTGACAGTACATTAAAATTTATAAAATCGATTAAAAATAAATACTTACCCCCTTACTAATAAAACTTACACGCTCGTTGAACAGTGTTTTAAAGTGACGTTTAGTATGGAAATGTCATTTTAAGACAGTGTTCAACAACTGTGTAACTTTTTATTAGTAAGGGGGTTATTATTCTTCAAATACTTAATTGTAATCCACACTAATTTACGCTTCTGAATAATAAATTAAAAACACCAAAAGTTAAATCGTCGTCGTCGTTTCAGCCAAATGACGTCCACAACTGGACAAAGGCCTCCCTCAAGGTTTTCCACAATGAACGGTCCTGCGCTGCTCGCATCCAGGCTCTTCCCTTGATTCAGGCTCGACCTTTACCAGATCGTCGGTCCACCTAGTAGGAGGCCTGCCCACGCTACGTCTTCTAGCTCGTGGTCGCCACTCGAGAACTTTCCTGCCCCAACGGCCATCGTCTCTACGAGCTATGTGCCCCGCCCACTGCCACTGCAAAAGTTAAATAAAAACGAAAAAAAAAACTCTTCAAAACAAAACACACGTATTCATTGTCAGGACAAAAACCATTATATGATCGATATTTAATTAATTTAGTTTCGTATCGCTGAGTGGTGCAATTCGAGGGTTCACGGGCTATATTTGCATTAAGCGACATCTTGGGCGATATTAAATTGCGAGAATTTTCTGCGTTGTTTGAGCTCGGTTTGTAGCGATCTGAACACTTTATTGTTGCTTGAAACATCAGTTTTAGGTCTAGTCCAAATCTAGTTTGTCTGATACGACATAAATTGTAGAGAAATAGGACTTCATAAAATGATTATGAAATTGACGTAAGTGATTTTGCTTGAAAACTACGCAACAAAAGGCATTTAAATCGTTATGCCTGAATTTGAAATTTATTATTGGTGTCGCTTTAAACATGCCAGCCCGCACTTGAAATTCATACTTGATGTCGCTTAAAACATTTTTGCCTGAACTTGAAATACATACATTATTGTCACTTAAAACATTTATTCTGCATCTTATTTTAATACGATGCGCTTAAAATATTTTGATATTCAAAGGAAATTTTTGTTACTTGGTGGATGGATAGACTTTTTTTCTCGAACTAATTTAACAACCATCTGTCGCACCGCATCAGACATAAATTATTGAAAATGTAAGTGGTGAAATACCTTTTTCTTTTACCGAAATTAGGAAAGCTAGTTCGTTAAGATAGGTGACTGGCATTAAGTCCAGCTTCTGTACAGTATTCTGTGCAAGTGAGTTCTAAATAATAATAGGCAATATTTTGTGTAATGCATTTTGGCCGCGCGTGCCCCCTGTGTCGCTGAAGCCATCCGTTTCGGACAAAACAGATATGTACAGTTTCTCCCAAACCCGTCCTCAAGATAGGGCTTGAGCCGAGGTTTCAAATTAATATTCAAAATTAAGAGCTGTAGCAAACCGTATGTATTCGGTCGGTACTGAGTAACGGGTCCTCCGCCTAGTACCAAATAAGATTGGTAATAATAATTCATATATGGAAAAATGGGGTGCGCCAAAGTTCACCTAAATTTTCAACTCCGATAATTGGAAATCCGAAAATGTTCTTCCTAACATTTTTCATCCTAACAATCATAATTCCTAACTACTGTGTCTCTGATGTTCATAATTCCGAAGCATTCAACTTCATAATGTCATTAGCAATGAAAATTAATATACTTTTATTTGTTTTCCTATATTTTCTCAACATAACCCTCTTGTACACTATTATTCAAAGTGTTATCTTTTTTGTTTAGAATTCTTTCTTTGACGATAATATTACTTGTCTCAAGTTCAAGTTTGTTGGCATTAGCACGTATACTTGAAGAAGAATTAGCGAATTGGTCCTATTCATAATTTATTGGTTTAACTTAAGTTAGAACTGCGACCATAACGCACGAGCCGAGCAAGCGAAGCCAGAGTGACGCTCCAGTCAATCAGTCAAGTTCCATAAACGAATCGGTCCTATTCATAATTATTGGTTTAGGTTAGATTAGAACTTTGACCATAACGCACGAGCCGAGCGAGCGAAGCCAGAGTCCCGCCCCAGTCATTTAGTCAAGTTCCAGAAACGAATCGGTCCTATTCATAATTTATTGGTTTAGGTTAGGTTAGAATTGTGACCACAACGCATGAGCCGAGCGACCGAAGCCAGAGTCCCACCCCAGTCATTCAGTCAAGTTCCAGAAACGAATCAGTCCTATTCATAATTATTGGTTTAAGTTAGGTTAGAGCTGTGACCACAACGCACGAGCCGAGCAAGCGAAGCCAGAGTCCCGCTCCAGTCATTCAGTCAAGTTCCAGAAACGAATCGGTCCTATTCATAAAATTATTGGTTTAAGTTAGATTAGAACTGTGACCTTACGTTACCTTTGCGAAGAAAACCTTCTGTACGTAGTACTTATTATTATTCTGTGAGTGAGTGAAAATATTATGGTAATTATGTTTAGGGATAAATAAAGTGTTATGATAAAAAACAGTAGGAGTTTAAATATATTTACATTAATGATATTATTATTAATTAAAATTTTCGGAAACATGAGTGTTATGAACATCGCCAGTAGCACTACAAATAGTATGAATGAAAACTTTAGGATGAAAAATTTTAGGAAGAGTGATCATTCGGATTTAAAATCGTTAGGAAGAACAATTTCGGGTAAATAACTTTAGGTGAGCCAATTATGGACCCGGACCAATTATGGACTTGGCAAATGGCCAATAGATGTATAAAAATGGACGGAGCAATTATTCACACGACGTAATTACGTAAAAATAAGAACTATAACATAGTAAAGGAAATTCTATTGGATTACTGTGAAAAGCTATGTATTTGAACATATAAAAGCGTATTAAAAAATAAAAATCAGCAGAGCAATTTTTCACTAGAAGTTATAGTGCAAAATGTTAAAAGTTAAATTTCAGGTATCTCTGAAATCGAAAAAGTGTTGGATTCTTTTACATACATATTCTAAGTAGTACATAGGTACGTATACAGAAAGAGTTTCAGGCTGAGAATTTTTACACAGAGAGTTATTAACGATTTTCATGTTTAGGTCAAAAAACATAACTTCCCAAAAAAAATTTTGTTGGATTTTTGCATATCTATGATCTATATTACCTACTTTCACCATGTGCCAAGTTTCATTGACGGACGAATTATTCGGGTTACAAACGCCTCGTTGATTGGACTAATAAAGGAAACTGTTATATGACTCGTAATACCTAGGCAGTAAAATAATGTGTGACAAAAATATTTCATTATTAACAATTACGTCGAATATTTTAATAATTGGCGTTTTTGTACAGGTTATTTTATTGTTTCCGATCGTTATACTCGCTATTAATTGCGTCTTACCATTTCTCCGTAGTACTCGTAAAGTATTGTTATTGTGTTTGTTTTTGAGGATCAAAGATTTGATACAGTAATAATTGGAATGCCAGTTAAAGTAAAGTCAATATTCTCGTTTGTATTGCGTAAACCATAAATATTTTTTGTATCAGGTGTAGGTTATTAATGTCAAATTAAATATGATTTAGTATTTATTCTAATTGTAAATACGTGAATAATAGATATCACTATTTTCGTATATACAGGGTGTCCCGTAATGTAACGTCAAGCCGGAACTGGGTGTTGAGGCAAGTTGTGCTGGTTATTAGAAAAATATAAAAAAAAATCTATGTGGCATATTTTAAAAATAATAGGCATTTAAATAAAATCAAAAAATTCTACTCCAGGTGACGGTCCTTTTGCTCGTGTTGCCACAAATCTTCACTTTTTCCAAATTTTTTTTTGTTATGTGACCCTGAATAATGCTTCTCTAAATTGTTATCAAAATTACAATTTCTAATTTATTTTCTTTACGGTGTGTGTATTCATGTTGTATTTCATCACCATCATTATCTCTTCTATAAGACGTCCACACAGCTGAACATAGGCCTCCCTCAATGCTTTCCATGTTGTCCGGTTGGTAGCAGCCTGCGTCCACCTACAAGGTGGATCGACGACATAGTGAAGGTAGCAGGAATTTTATTTATTTAAAGAAAATATACTTACTGTACCGTCCTCGCCTTACAATTTCTAAGACCTCTGACAGTGGTGTTATACATTATCAGTTTAATGTTCAGACTTGATGAGTCTATGGTCTCGAAGAATAGTGGGTCCAGTGTTTCCACTCCGTACTCAGGGATTCCCGCAGCAAATATTGGAATAGCTGCGTTAGTAGTATTCGTCAGGCATTTCACGTCTCTTGCATTGCATTTAATTATAAAAGGAACTGTCAAATTAAAAAAGGCTTTTAATATATTACAGAGCATTTTGGTACCCATAACACAAGTTAAATCTTGATTTGTACGAATTCGTTTTAAATACAAGCGCTACTTTAAGTTTTATTTTAATTAGGAAGGTACCTACTTTAGTAAGAAATACAGATAATTTATTTTATTTTGTTTTATTCAATAAGTACATATTAAACAGGTTACAGTCATTTCCATAACAAAATACATCAACAAAATGAACAGTGTCTAGACTCCAACCTAAAAGTTGCGTAAATTTAAATTAAATAAAAAATAATTTAAAAAAAGAGCTGTAAAACAAACAATGTGTTACTGAATAACAAATTTTCAGATTCATTGTAGGTATAACACGATTATTTTGCTTGCGATTCCCAATTAAAGAAATGTTTTTTTAGGTACTAAGGCTGCTGAGTTGCACCAACAAACGTCAAACATCTGTCAAACTCCATACAAAAAACACCGGTTAACGTTATAGTTACGGTCAAAGTTTGGTGGTGCAAGCGTTATTGTATTTAAAACCTAAGAGAAAGCCATAGCTGATAAGTACTCTATAAAATACTATAAATTATTATGTACATTACCTGGAACAGCATTTGCAAAAGCGAACAAACTCACAAATAATAAATAATTCCACATTTTATGTGATTTCACGGCCTATTCCATTGACGACTTATTTGTGTTTAAATCAAATTGTTTATACTTACGCCAAACTTTTAACATAACCTTTGTTTACCTCTTGCAAATCAATAATTATGTGTGAGACATCTCTTGAAGGCATTAAAATGTCAATCACTTTAGATACGTTTACATAATTATTATTATGAAAATAAAGTCTAGTAGGTAATACAAATTATCTAATACTAAAATTAGGTAAATGACGAAAATAAAACAAAAGTAAAAAAATATGATTTAATAATTAAACTTATAGTTTCAAAGGATTCTACATTCTTTACATAACGTTACACACAGTACACGAATATTCTATTAGTTTCACGTCCCCAAACTTTAGTTGTCATCGAAACTTAGCCTGGGTTGCACCATCTTTAACTCACACATCTTTAACTTTGCCAAACGTCAAAAATCTGTCAAACTTTATACAAAAAACATCGGTTATCGCTATAGTTACGGTCAAAGTTAGGTGGTGCAACTCAGCCTTAACGTTAACCCCAGAGGTTTAATTGCCATTAATTAAGGGAAAAAAACCATTTAATTTTAATAAGTAAAAGAATAACACCACAAAGTTTCTTAATTATAAAAATTAAATTATAAGGTGAGTTGCACCACTTCATTTCACCGTAACTATAACGACAACCGGTGTTTTTTGTATGGAGTTTGACAGATTTTTGACGTTTGTTAAAGTTAAAGTCAGACGGTGCAAGCCAGCCTAGACAGTACAAAGGATAAGTTGGCAAATATTTTGACGCTAACAGTAATCACATTTAAATAAGTGGCAATCTTGAAGAATTTTACATGTGCGATATTGTTTTTTTTTACAATAAAACATGCATGACACGAAACTTTTGAAACTTAAATGCACTTTTTAACTCTTTGTCAATCTGCCTTTTTTACACCTAAGGCTTTGTGAAAACTTAATCAAGGCTTAAATCTTCCGTAGGAACTGCCAGAAAGAAGGGTCTGATGGTGTTTATGATTCTGACAACCACAGTTTTGATGACTGGCGACCCGACCGTGGATATGATTTCGTTTCCATTGTCTGCTATGACTGCTTCGACCGCTTTTGCTGTCAAAAAATAATAGTTCAAATTATACTATTTGGTCATACTAAACCCTAATAATACTGAACTGATTTTGATTAAACTGCACAGTATTATTGGTCAGATTTATTTATTTACAGTATCAGTAACACTATAAATTTACGCTTGCTATAAATTTCACGCGGAAAAAGCCGCGGGTAAAAGCTAAGTAGTTTATTTTTAGTAGAGTCACTATCTGTTGTCTTCATGAAATTATTATTGACGTCACGCCGAAGGTCATATTAAGAATCTATGAAAATATATTGACATTGACGTGACGAGACAACATAGCCGTTTAAAGGTGGACGCACACCTGACAGCGCCGCGCGTGACGCAGTCATCGCATTTTTTAAATGTTTATATG